TTGCCTTGGAAATCTATGCTGTATGTTTTCTGGCCATCGAGCTCATTTTACAGTTGGCTTTATTCATTGCCTTTTGGAATTAACTACTGCTCAGGGAAGCGCAATCGCTCCGGCTTACTCCAAGTCGGTCTCATCGACTATTAACTGACCGGTGGAGCCACGCTACTGTAAGCGGCACACGTTACCACTCGCCTGACAATAGTATTTTGCGTGCCCAGATCCTCTCGCCCTGAGGAATAGCAGTGTTTTATACACACTGTGGACCTAACACAGCCCCTCGTTGTCAGCTGTCCCTTGGAAACCGAAGCAGGGGGTTCACACGAGCCCAGCCTCCTGCTCCCATCGCCTCCGGAACGTGTCCCCGCTCCCACCCTCGCTACGCTCCTGCTCTGCAAGCCCCGATGCAGCCGAGTGGCCGATGGCTACCAGGTCTACCTACCAAATCCCTCCTGCCTCCGCCTCGGTACAGTGCTGATTTACACAAAGCTCTTTGAATAAAGAAGCAGATGCATTGCTCTCCGGCAGACCCTCACTCCCAGTCTGAGTGCCCAACCAGTAATACCGACTAACACAGGAAACCAGAACAAAGTTAGAGAAATCAAGTAGGTAATGCCTTTTTCTTTTTTTCTTTCTTTTTTTTTTTTTTTTTTTTGATACTACTGCTTTGCTAATCCCCCCAAAACCAGCACAATATAAAAAAAAAATAAAATTGATCTTTGGGGAAATGGTAAGTAGCACAGAATTAAGACAACATGCAGAATCCTGACTTCACTGAATGAAATGAGATTTTTGTCATTAACTTCAATGAAGCCAGTGTTTCAAAAGTGTCTTGACAACAACTTCGGTACATGTTTCTTAGATGACTTCTCTCTAATGGAATTAAATAGTTCCCAAGACAAGCTTTCTTCCATTCCCACTGTAATCAGTGTTGTATTTGCGATGGTTTTCAGTGAGAGCCCAATTGGGCCCTAGGCTCGGAAAGAAAAATCATCTCGAAGTAAATGGGTTGCTGTCTATCTGACCTCTTCTCTCATTGGTGTGAACACAGCGCGGGGACGAAACCTCAGATCACTGCTGCTATTTGTGTGAAGAGAGGTTGTTGGGTTTTTTCCTACCAGAAGATTAATAGGTAGCAAGTTCAATATCGTTAGGTATTTAGTTTTCCTTAATTGTTCCAGGAACTCATCTACAGAGAGCAATGCATCACATCTGGAGGTAGCAATTTACCTTTCAGAAATCAACAAAATCTGCACGTTCCTCCCGGGTTTAGGAAAAAAGGAGCTCACGCAGCTCCTGCCGCTACTCCAGTCCCCCGGATAACCCACGGCTTCAGGGGATTCTCAACGAGCCACAATATCACCACCAATATTTCCTCTGGAATTCACCAAGTTTTCTTCAATATCTTCTGTCTAGATAAGCTAATCTTTCTCAATACGTGCGAAAGCACATCCTAGAAATCTTGCAATAGGCTTGTAGCTTTTAATTTTCTTTTAAGCCTGAAGGTTCATGCTTGTTAATAATTTGGTGGATCCTGATAGCTCTGCAGCCTGGAGAACAGACAACAGATGGTCCAGCCTCGGCATTGAGCATTATTCCTTCTGTACCTTTCAGGAATTCGAGAGATTCTTATTTTAGAAATACTTTTTCTCCTTCCTGGCCGGGCACTGGTCATCTGCTTCATCCATTTTTCCATTACACTTCAAGAAAGTGGATGCACGCTGTAGAAAGAAAGGCCCTATTCCATGGATTGGATTTTTACTATTTGCATTTTTATTGTAGTATCTTCCTAACATTCCTCAAAGTTTCACGAATGAAACCAGAGAAAGGGAGAGGGGGTAGGTAGGGTTTTCCCCACGAGTTCTTCATTGGCCCTCCCCCACCGCAGGGCACTGCCACATAGATACGATCAGGGATCCATCCAGAGAGCTGATCACATCTGTACCAACTGAATCCTGAGGAAACTCCAGAACTGGTCCACCGAAGTGTAAAAAATAATTATTCAATGCTATCGTTCAGGGGAAAAACGCGTTAACTCTCATACCACAGCCACGGCCATTGGCTTGTTTACTGGGATAGATGTTTTTCTCCTGGTGTCTTCTCAGACCGGCACAGAGGACAGGCAGTGGCGCGGTGGTGCTGTGCTCAGCATCTCCCCGGTTTGCACTGCCCGCTGCGGCTTATCCTCTTTTTCAGGCGATATGAAGGAGCTCGCCGAAAGGCTGGAGCTCGTTGGCACTTTCAGGTTTGTCCTCTCCTGCGTTCTGGACCAGAAGAGAAGTCTGGCGAGCAGGAGCGGCACACGGACTCCTACTGCAGGTGGTTGGTGCTGCATGAAAAGACGAGGGGGAAACCGCGCTGCCTGTTTCTGCAGGCAACCGTCTTCGTTACGGCAATTACCCGGCGGTTCCCCGCGGGGGGTTTCAGCTGTTTGCTGATCTGTCACTTGGCCGAGAAGAGGCCAGGCCAGGCGGTGGCACGGGGCGAGCGGGGCCGGGTGGAGGATCAATCCAAGCTGCTGCTGCTCCTCCGCGCTCCCGGCACCGTGGGGATGTGGCGGTACCCCACACCGAGTCAGCTCCCCGTCATTTGGCGCTGGGGTATTTGGAACCGGGTCACTCTCCGCTACCACCGAGAACCTCTGCAAAATGCCACCTCACTTTGGCTGGGAGAGAAAACGGAGGATGCTTAAATAAAAATGATCTCTTTATGGGAAATTGTCCTCTCAAGCCTACAGCTGCACTTCTGCTCTTCATTTCCAAGATTAACTTTTCACTCCCAAATTAAAGAAAACGCACATCTGTGCCCTGCAGCAATTCACAGACACGGGTGTGCACGCAGAGCCCACCGGACGCGTGGCATTAAGACTCCACGCACAGGCGTATACAGACCATAGAACTTATTTAGGTGCGATGCTGTTTTGAACTCAGAAACAATTTCTAACTCCTTTGCAGTCTCATGAGATCATTCCAATGCAGTAAGAGTGAAGGAAAAGCTACAAGCAAAAAGCAGGAAAGAAGAGGGAGGTTTTCAGATGAAACGTGAGAGCGCAGCAGATGCAAGAGAGCAGCAGCGCGGGATCTCCAGGAGCCTGGAGCTGCAGAGGAGATGGGGCTCACCCTCGGACGGATGCTACTACACGCTGGGGACAATATCCCCAACACTGGGCAAGCACTGGGGACAGAAACACGGCCTGCTGCCTTCAACCAAGAGAAAGCAAAAGCATCCAAGGATTTTAAAGCCCGGAGGACTAGCTAGAAATGGCTTCTAAAATTAGTGCAGGGCGACACGGGCAGGGTTACACGTGCGACCTTCTGCACTTGGCTGTGCTGGTTACTGCAAGTGAAATGAGTAAGTCAGTTATCCGCTCGCTAAAGAGTTGGGTACGTGAAGGTTCAGCACCTCACGAGGTTGACTTTCAAGGCTTGGCCTGTAAACCTTCACCAGCGAGCAGCTCGGTACCCTTCCAGTTTGTCCCCCGTGGAACAAACCGCGTGGCTGTGCTTTAGGCAGGGCAGGGCACCCGTCCCTTGTCGCCTCTCCCAAGCCATGCTCAGCGCGCAGAACTTCGCCCGGGAAACATCCCCAAAACTCAAACAATGCAGATGGCACCTGGGCAGCGCAGGGAAACCTCACCTCCAGCCGGGCTACCACCGGCCCCCTTAGCGGAGGGGACAAAGCGGCCAGCCAAGGGACCTCGTG